GTGCCACCATTGATCACGCGAAACCTCTCCCACGTCCAGCTGGAGGCGGGTGGTAATTCCCACCAGTTCTTGTGACCGCTGGCATCCATGAAGCCATTGTTCATCCGAATGAAGCGGTTCATGTCATAGCTGTGCAAAGCAACCTCGTCGTTGCCTGCATCGACCACCCAAAATCTCTCCTGCTTGAGACAAGCCGAGACAGGTTATTACGCCACCCACCTCCAACGGGTTCGGAGGTTGTCTTTAGGGTTCCATATGTGTTACATGAAAACATCCGAAAACCTGTTGGCCAAGGAAGGCCACTCCTGTGTCCATGAAGATGCCAAGTTGGAAGACTGGCCACTGCCCTCCATCCCTGCTGCATCTGTCATCTTCAAGTAGCGGTTGTTCGCTTGATTGTGGAGAGCCTTGGTTCTACAGAAGGATCTCCATGTTTGTTCAAACTATACTACCCCCAGATGAGTTAGGAGTTGTGTCAATTATGAGATGGGTTGTTTGTTGCACAAGTCCCAACTCACTAGTGCAGAGTATAATCATTGTTTACAGCTGCGACCATCCTTGTTGGTGCTGAGACAAATTCACACGTACCACTGTCCTTCCCAGCCGAAGGAGCAATATAGACCTTCCCAGCCAGCCGCGCCAGAGGACTTTCAACCTCGAAGACCCAAAAGCGCTCATAATCTCCCGGATTCTCGATGTACATGGCTTTCATGTTGCCATTGGGTTCCATTTGCATCCTCCCATAACGCTTGAGGCTGATGTAGCTATCCCAAAGATGAACCAGCTCCATGCGTTCCTCCACATAGTCCTCGGATTGACGACCCCTCCCTTTGACCCAGCGAAGCGAAAAAGATACGAAAAAGAACCTCACCCTATTCGTGCGAAAAGTCACTTCGGTCTAGGCACTTCATAGACGATCATCGGTACAACAAATGGGTTCAATGCCAGTGCCCCATTGCCAAAACCATGCGTGGGCTCAGAACCTGTGGCTAATGATCCGACATCGTGATTTAAGGCCAAGCATCTGGAGGCATTGGAATTGGAGCATAAGGGCTTGCCACGATATCATTGGAGGTGAGCTTCAAATAGCGTTGATGGAGGTTGTTGTAGAGCCCAATTTGACAATTGCCAGCATCCACCACTTCGAACCGTTCCCAAGTCCAGCTCGCTGGCAGGTAGGGTTTACCGTTGCCATCCAATGGTGCAACGTTGCTATCCACCACTCCTCAAGCTTTCCAACATGCCGTGCAGGGTACACAGGACGGAGCCCGCTTCAGGGAGGACACTTTAAGAGAACACTCGTATAGAAACGCCAAAACGCACAGAAAGAAACCACACATTTGAGGGCCCAAAAAACAACACACCAACAGTTGTTATTGAGAGGGCGCAGTTGCAGACCAGTTACTTTGAGGAGTCTTTAAGGTCTTTTCTTTGAATACACCGACTATGTCTTTAGAAAACAAACACGGAACAGACCTCGTGTCGCTTCGCTTCTCCTCCGTTGGTCATCCGCACAAAGCGATTGTGCATGGAATTGTGAAGGGCGATGGTCGAGCCGACCGTGACCCAATTGCTGCACATCCCAGTGGATGCTTCATCAGAGGCCTGGCGTGTCCGACTGGTTTGGGTGTCGGACAGAGTCGGTGATTCCCCTGGTTCTTTTGGGTCAGGAGGTCCTACTCCTTCCCTTTGAAGGTGGTTTCGAAGAGGTTGTAAGCGGTACAAGGAACATATGTATGGTCATAAGATGACATAGTGAGTGAACTGAGAGAGAGAGAGAGAGATGGAGAGTTATAGTGCAGTCACATTGGCTTATCATGATTTGGGCGTTCGTTAATTGCTTCGCTTCCATGCCATGCAACGCCTTCTCCGCCTCCATTGATTGCTGCACTGAGTGAACTTTTGCACCCAAGGCTCCTGCAAGCTACCAGAAGTTTCTTGCCAAATCAATCATTGCCTCTGTTGAGCCGCCCAAGCCATTTGCGGCACCAAGTGAACACGAGTGTCTATCGCGATTGCCCCCCCCAAAAAGAAGTGTTATAATTATCCGCTGTGGTCTTCGCCCTTATTAAAACACTCCCGGTCCTTCCTCTTCGTAAACAAAGACATGAAACATGAGTCACGGCCGCTGAAGGCACCGAAGACGGCCGGCCCATAAACGGTCGATCGAGGCACGAGACGTCTCCGGCATCCGGCTTAGATGAAACAGAGCCGAGAACAAGAAGCAGCGCAGAAAAGGATCACGCAAAGAACGAAAAAGCTCGCAGAACAAAAGCTTGTGGCTGGAGGGAAGATGGCCCAGATCAACGATCAACTCACCGTTTGTTGGTCCACTTGCTTCCCAATGGCCAAATGCCACGAGTTGACACCTATGAGAGCATATGACCGTGGGCCCAGACATGGAGCGATTCCCCCAGACATGCGGGTGCGGGTCTACTTTTGGATATGTTTTTGGGCTTGGGGGTCATTTTTTGCGGACAGCACTCTTGGGCACACATTGTGCCAACGGCAGGCACAAATTGGTCACAAATTGGTCCTGCACCTTGGATAACAGCAACCAAAAGATGTGGACAAGAACCTTGGACGCCCATCCTGCTCCACTCCCTGCACAGCAGCCCCGCACAGCACCCTCAACAGCACTCTGAAAGCGCCGTTGGCCACCAAGTTTGCTCACAGCACAGTCGACAGCGCCAGAAGAACGGCCAAAGGATTTACAACACGGCTACCTTGTGTGCTGCCCTCACAGCACCCTTTGGATAGCATGTTGACCAGAAACTCCGCCAGCACCTACTGTATATCCTACATCCTCGAGGTAAGAACCTCTGTAGTTTCCATGCTATGTAGAGAATATCAGCGTTTAAAGATTTCGATTCCAATGACGTGCTCGGCAATCTGTCCTGTAAAGCAAAGCGTCAGGAGCATATGTTGCTTCATTATCGACTTCAAGCCACCAAAGTCGCTTTGAGAGTCCGCGAAATAAATGCACTATATAGTAGCGAGGAATCGCGTGTGAAAAGGCTTGAGCACATCCAGCGGAATACATCAACTGCTGTGTCCCCATGCAGTCTGCAAACAATTGTGTTGCAACGGGCAGGCAGTATGGAAGGCATGTCGACTAATTTTCGTGCATTCTACATTGGTACCGACCTCATATGATCATTACAGTATATGCATAATCCTCTCACACTCTGTCACATTGGAAAGGACAAGAACTGGGCAACTTCTGGATGTTGCCACCAATGTGTGATCGTTTCTGACTCCACGTGCATGAAATCCACACTGAAATAACGCTCTGACCTGCAGCCTTGTGCAACGCGCCGACCTGGCCCACAAGCCTGGCAAATGCACCCAGAGCCGTGCCCTTGACGTTGAGTGCCCAGGCCAATGCAATCGGGAAAAATCGAAAGTCTGTGATGAATGCTTGGGCTCGACGGTCACAAGGCCATCATAGCCCATCAGGTCCAACAATTTCTATACCAAATCACTGCTGCAACTTGGCTGGGCAGAATCCCAGAGGCCAGCCAACAGCTGTAGCTTGCTATGTTCAATTCATATTGCAGTATAACTACAGCCGTGCAGTTCACCGACGCCTGAGGCCTGGACTGACATTGACCGCTGGTCCTTTGCGTCAGCCGCACTTCTCACGCGAGCGCGGGCACATCCATCACCGTCTGTCCGGCGCATTTCCCGTTCGTGCTGCGAATGACATATCAACCACCGCGTTCACGCAGGGAAGCTGCATGAGGCTCATGGGCCTGAGGAGAGGTTTGCATTGCTTCAGGTGACGCTTCATATGATCATAGCGTCAGTGCATGACTGCCTACTTGTCTTGACAAATCGCTAAGTGATGAGCAACCGGACCGATCTTTGGACATCTTTTGACCAAGAATTTGGCGCATATCGCATGTCTTGCGACCAGTGATCAACTTGTCAATCGCATCATATGCATTCATAACACAAAATAAGCGCGATGAAATGCCGAATTGGCTGAAGTTTCCCTTTGTTCACCCCAGCCAACATCAAATGACTTCACCTCGTGGGCCGAATGCTTTTGAACTTTTGATGGTGCTGTTTCAAAAAGGCAGCATGAAGCGTCAAGGCCGTGCCTAATGGGATAGTCTAGTTCGGGTTCATCAACCTCTGTTGGTATTTACTCCCACCATGTGGTGTCCTGACCCCTAGGGCCCTGCATTCCAGTCGTTCGAGTTCTTCCGAGCGTCTTGTTCCGCTTTTTCCGCTGGCTCGGTCGTCCTCCGGCGGATCTCAAGTGGCACCGCGCCAAGAATGCACCGTTGATACACGCCTTTGGTGATCAACACGTCAGAATGGAGAAGATTGACGCTGTCATGGACATACACCGAATGACAAGCAAATCGAACATTGGAACACAAGAGGCAGGTTGATTATGATGTTTTACATTTTGGGATTTACTTTGGAATCTTCAAATCTGGGCTATTCCAGTTCTGCGTTTCAGTCCCCTCCCATGCCTGGCCCAAACAATCCCCTCCAATCCACCTTGCAACCAGCAACTCCCCGGCCGCACCCGTGGGTTTTATATAACCCTGGAACCGGCCCTGGAAGGCTACTAGTAGCTCCTGCCATCGCTACTAGGAGCATTCTGGCATCGCGGAGCAAACAGCTACTAGTCACAAGAAGCTATAGAAATAGAAACTCAAACAAAACTTCTGCGCTACAAAAGGGCACCAAAAGGAATGGTAGGAGCTGAGCCCAACCTTCGAAAGGCTAAGCAGCTCAAGCGAACACTGCTGAACAGCATTTGGAATATGCATGTCCGTTTGAATCTCAAGAACCTTTCACTTCTTGTCCTGGCCTGAGGCAGTGAAGTTGGCTGTAGTGTTCAACATCCGTATGTCTTTCCAAAGTTTAGGCCCACTGGCGTTGGCAAAATGAATGCTGACGGGGGCTCTCTCCTAAAGACCACAGACTTGTTTTCCATATGCCCTGTGCATCCATCACCCTGGAAGACACCACATCTATTTGGCAACTTTGGGCGGAACCGGGCAGAATCACTGGAGTCGCACGGACCGGGATGGTCACGAGCTGGTCGCTCACTGCCCGCTGCACCTCGTTCGAAAGCGTGCCACTTGCGGGCCTCTGGCCCGCGGCACTCGAGGGAGCGCAGCGAATTCAAATGCAACGATCTGACATGTCCAAGCACATGTACACACAGTCAACATGCGGCATCAACTTGGCTCCTTGATATTGCTCTTCTCACGTGTTTGCCTCTTGGGGGAGGGTGCATACCTGCATGAGCATCCTTCAGCAAGGCTTTGGTAGGACGAATGTTGTCAAAGTCTAAAAGCTCTTGCCTACGTACATGTTTCATTCTCGACGGCCTTTGTTGCAGAGTCTTAGGGCCAGTGATCAGGCTCAATAAGCCCAGCCGCTGATTCCATCGAATGATCTGGTGCTGCGGCTAGCCCTGAATAGAACTGTCTCTGACTATCCTCTCATGATTCCGCACCTTCCCGTCTTCAAAGATTTCAACGAATAGAACATTCAATTCATTTTGGACACTCTGAGATATTTCCATTCGAAGGTTAGACCCCAGGTCGATTAGAAAGACAAGACCATCCTGTTAGGGTTTTATAATGGCTTTATATATGTATATTATATATATATATCCATCTATTATATGATATTATATGGACCCCCACCCATCCTTTCAGGCCATCACGGGGTCTGTGCCATCTACTAAGTTGCACCATGGTATAGCGTAGATGTCGTCGAGGTATGTCTTAGGTTCAGGATGCTCATCGGCCACATGCATGTCGTCGATATCTCAAGGTTCAAAAGCCCCCATAAATGGCCAATGCCTCAAATGCCATCAAATGCCCTCCTGCCCTCTGGCCCTGTCAAGGGCGCACCCGGCAGTTCGATGCAAAACTCGTTACAAGAGACCGCTGGGTCGTCAAGGGAATTCCCCAGTCGCTTCCTCCAGCTTCAGACGGTCCGGACCTCGGATGGTCTCTTTGGCGCTGCGGGAAGCTACGGCTGCGGGAGCTGCACTGGCCTCCTTTGCTTCAGCCTCGTGGGCGTTCACCCACTGCGCACCTGGCAGTCAAGAGAAGAGAGCCCCCCAATAACGAAGGAAAGGAGCCATCTCCAGAAAACTTCAAAACGATTCGTTTAAACCAATATTGGTCAAAAAAACGATTTCTTGGTACGCCCTACCTTCACCGCAAGAGCAAACTGCTACATCAATGAATTTTTGTCGGCATTGGCATCGCTATTTGTTCGGACTCCTCTCCAGTAAACCGGCCACAGAGACCAGCCACAGAGTTTATCTATCCCCAACAGTAAACTGTTTGGGGAACAAACATCCAACTGGACCGGCACGTCAAGCTTTGTTTCCTCTCATTTCCTCATTCTCTTGCTCACCTCCAAGGCTCCCACTGTGACTGGCTCATGGCTAGTCCGGCACTGAGGCCTGGCCTCACGGGCTGAAGGGGGTTCCGCGAAGCCAACCAAAACGGGGCTGGTCCTTGTCGCCTGGATGGGGCCAATCCGGCGAGTCCTTTCGGCGGTGGTTTTGCCCAGGTTTCGCCTGACCTCATCATTTCCTAAGAAGGCCGTGCGCAGCCATGATGCAACCGATGCCCCTCCTCCACAACTCTGGACAAGTCTGCACAATCATCTGCGATTGAGAAGTGCTTCGTACCAAGGTTCATGCCAGAGACCATGGTTTTCATTGGTTTTCCATGAGGTGACGGATGCAAGCCCTTCCACTTCAACTCAAAAGCAGCAAAAGTGCCCAGGAACCCCACAAGCAGCCAGCAAGTCACCCATCCGTCCTCTGCCCCAACTCCCGGTGAAAACTTCCACCATGAGCCCCAAATCAGCCTCCCCCCCGCAGTGCAAAAGCTGCGGCTGGCCTGGGGAGCTCTGGGCGAAGCTGCGGCTGGCCTGCCCTGGGGTGCAGCCGGAGCACAAGCACCCCATGAAGACAGGGGAATGGGAACAAACCCAGAAATCTTAGGAGTGACAGAGTGATAGACGTTAATCATTAGTAGCCAAGGGAAACACCTGGGAACTGAATCCTCAAGCTTTCGCATGCAACAACACAACAGCAATTGGCCTACCACTGACCCATCCACAGTTCTACTCTCCAACAAAACGTCTCATCTGAGGCTGGTCCAATCCAAGCCGCACCTCCAAGCAGGGAAAAACATGGAAAGACCACAAGTCCACCAATTCCCTCGACCTCTCCGCCCCGGCCCCCCCGCATGGCCTATCCAGTCCACCGGCCGTTGCAAGAGATCCTCCACCTGTAACGGCCCGTGCTCCACTCTGCGGTCGGAGATGGGGCCACGGTGGAGGGTTAGCCGAAGTCCTCTTACTTTTCTGTTCCTTTGAAGGCTGGTGCCAACACAGAATATCAACGTAAATGAGCACTCCAGTAGCCTTGTCCCCTCCACAAGCCAAACCTGTCCACCCTGGTCTACCGAACCAGCACTGATGGATCAAAGAGGGATTCTCAGAAGCCCAAAGACGAAATCCCCCCGTTCCACCGGCTGCGCCCGGATGAGATGTGTGAGGATGGATAGCTTGCATCCAAGCTAAAGATCTTGAAGACATCTTGAAGACATATATACCGAGTCTATCCACGCTCGGAAGCCTCTGCAACCTGATCTTGCAAGGTCATAACAAACCCAGAACTCTTCTCGTCGCTCGCGAGCAGACAAAGGCCCCGGGCCTCTGGCACCATCAGGGGGCAGATCTCGGAGTCCACCTTGGAGTCCACCCCAGAGTCCACCATTGGAGGAACCGACCGGGTCTTCCGAGTCCAAATCGGGGCGTGTCTACCATGTCAGTTCTAGGGAGTGAAGATGGAATTCATCCACGGCGTTGGGTGGGGTCCGTTTGGAACTGATGTCTTTCCCTTGGATGTTCCAAGCCTTGAATTTGAGACGTGCATGTCATGAACCTCTCGCAACACACGGCCATTGAACCAAAAACAGTTCAATGGCATTCAACAAAAAAAAACAGCTGAGATCTGTGAAGTTTGAGGATTCCCAGGCCCTGCTCGGTCTCGGTCTCTGCTGTGTTCCACACCCCTGACACCCGCCCCACCGCCCCCTCCGCCTCCCCCCCCCCCTCCGCCTGCTCCGATGGGAGGCTCCAAAGGCCGCCGCCACGGGCGCGCAACTGAACCCGTCGGCGGCGCCGGGACGATGCGTCGGCGTCACTGGAGACGTTGAGAGGTTTTGGGAGAGTTTTCGGTTCGGTTTGGGATGCTTTTCGCAGAATTTCGTGTGATTTCGCGACCGAAAAGAGCTGGACAATGAATACACCGACCAGCCTTCTCGGCCCTCTCCTTCCACTCCAGGCAGTTCTCTTGGAGATACTCCTGAAAAGCAAAAAAAAGAAAGCGGAGTGGGGCTGAGCCTGAAACTTCGAATCATCTTCCTAGGTCTTCCCACACTGTCTCTCTGGTAGGTGGCTGCTACCACAGCCCATCATCATCAGTGCTAATAGCACTGCCTGTTGAAGGGCATTCTTCATTTTTTTGAATTCTTCCATCAGTCCCTGAGGCATTACCATACCAAGTGCCCTTCAAAACAACCACTGAACAATTCCCTCACCCCACCTCCACCCAACCCCCCCAAAATACTCCAAATGAATGTTTGCTGGGGAGGGGAGCTTCCACGTGGCAGCCCCCCTTCGACACCCCCATACCACAACCGCTCCTTGCCGATTTCAAAGGGCGGAATGGGCTTCGACCCCACGCAGTGACTCAGCAAGACCTGAGGCCCCACATGGCCAGTCACAGGAAAAACACGGCGGGGGAGCACTGGCTAGAGCCGCCCTAAGCCTTACTAATGGTTGCCCGGTTGCCCTTGGTGTTAAAAAGTGAAACACTGCTGGTTCGGTAAAGGCTTAAATCAAGGGTGCTTGGAATGCCCCAGCGTTGCTGATGCTTTTGTGCCATGGCAGGGCCGTTGCGGGCACGTCATGGCGCCCCGAGCTCCGAGGCCGCTCACCATTCCGCCCTCGGATGCGCGATGCGCGACGCGCGGTCGCGGGGCGCGGCAGTCGCGGCCTTCACGGGGTTGCAATTGTGCCAGTCGTAGAAGCGCCGCGTGCGCACCTGGGTGGGCAGAGGTGGCCGTGGGTAATGGGAGGGCAGGCGGAAGGCGGAAGACCAGCGGCGAACAACCCTCCCTGTGCTTTTGATTGCCGACTTCTGGGCGTCTACCAGGCTACCATCCCTCAACTGATGTGTTACTACGTCAGAGGCCAACGGATTGAGGCCTTCAACTAGGTACAATTGATGGGGAGCTGCTCAAGACATGGCAGACATTGGCAGACTCACTTAGATCCTGCATTGAAATTATAGACCCGCGGAAGACCCGGACCCTCTCCTTCGTCTGCCACAGGATAGCCCCAACACCCGTCCCCCGCACCTCATCGTAGCTGGGCCGGCTGCTGTCGCAGCAGTCCTACGAGTGCGCACTCGTAGGAGACATTCGGTCCGCCAGGCCGAAGAAACCAAAGCAAACATGAATCAGTTGCATATTCCTATATATCCTATATATTCCTCCTATGGTAGGCAATGGGAAGAGGTTTCATCATGCACCGAGCAACAGAATTCTCTTCAATTCTGAATTTGTGTGGAAGGGGTGTCAACGAACTGCACTGCTGAAGATATAAGTAAATTCGACTGCTGCACAAATCCCAAATCCCAAGTCAATGGATCAAAGCCCCCACAAATCCTTCCAACGCTGCGCTCCGCATTCATCACCGCACCAACCGCACCTTTTTGGACCTCGCTCTGCTCTGCTCTTTCCAGGGTCCGGCACTCGGGGCGAGTATGTTCCATGGCCCCCAGGGCAACTCACAACGCAGGGAGGGGGGCGGGACGTTTGCCGCCCTTAGACCTTTTCGTAGTCCAGCTTACCTGCGCAGTTGGTTTCGTGTCCGGGCTTTCGGTCTGGGCCTTTGACAGACGTAGGTCTGTCTGACAATTTGACCCTATCGCATCCATGTTCTTTCCTTCAGGAACCTGTACAACCGAGGAGTATGTAGTAGAAGCTGGTTTGGGATCTTGGATCTATTTTATTGTGCAAAGAGGTGTCAACTTTGTTTATTGAAAAATACTGAAAAATATTCAACTAAGAACAGCATTGCCTTCCAGCTTCTTGTTGTCCGCGATCTTTCCTCAGCTGTGTCAAGTCTACCACGTCTACCAAACAATGTCCGCAAGTTACTAGTTTGTGTGCATGTCATGTCTCTATTGCATAGCAATGTACATATTGAAACCCAGTCAAGCACCTCCTAATCAAATGGCCGGCTTTGCGGTTAGTCAGTGCTCCCTGCTCAAACCTTCGAACTGGACCCCTCCGTCTCCGCGCATGACCTGCTAAGAACTCACTTGCTCAGATTTGCTGAGTGCATCCACTGGGCAAACACAGTAGATATAAGTATATTAACAGATCAAGAATGGTCAAACACATCCACGAAACAATCGCAGCTCCTTCTTCCTCCCATCACTTTTATCAGCGATCCCTGAGAGCCATCCCATGCACTTCCTTCCTTTGCCCCAAATCGATATCCGATAGCGATCCATCCCACACCGAGCGGCGCGCGGCTTTCATGAAGTCCTCCTCCACCACGTAGTCCCGCTCCGAGCGGATCGCGAACATCCCCGCCTCGGTGCCTGGGACTCGAGCCGCGAGCGGCGCGAGGCGCGAGCGTTCCTCCGGCCCTGCGGGAGTCGCGTGTTCAATCGCCTCGGCAAGTGCAAACTGGATAGGATGTTTGAGGATGATGTTGGGGTTTTTCCCCTTTTGCTCCACCCCTGCTGAAGTTTTTTCCCTTGCTCCACCCCTGCTGAAGCTCAGATGCATATGTTCCGCATGTCCGCATTGTTGAAGTTGTCCGTGAGCTTCACGATGGCCTCGTAGTCGATGTCCCCGTGCTTGGTGATTGGATTGGCCTCGCTTTATTCGACTGGTGCATCTGATCATCTGATCACCAGGGGGGAGGCGTTCTTATGAGCTGAGCTGAGCCCGAAGTATGATATAGACATATCGACTCTTGAGAACTCGGTTCCTCTTGAGACCTCCCAGGTGTTTCAAGTGAGACCTCCCAGGCGGGGCAACAAGTGGCACCCGACTCTACAGGTCTCCGACATGGTGGAGACAAATGGAGACTTCAAAAGTGGCAGGTGGTGACTTGTGAATTGTGAAGTCGGGTGCTGCTAGGTTGGGATGGATTCGCAATGAGCTCGGCTCTGGACATCCGAAGCAGCTGCCGTTTGGACGCGCTCCTTCCAACATCACTCATGGGGCCTGCTGCATCAAGCTGGATCAACTACGGCCATCACACCATAAACCACCTCGAACCATCCAATTGCCCCCTGAAATGGTCTAAAATGGTAACCACTGGCATAGGCTAGGCAACAGCCCTCTTCTTCCATCCTCGCCCGTTGCTTGTGCAGGTCGCAAAGCCCAAAAATCATCAAAAATCACCCAGCTGCCAGTCGCGTGCGCCGGTCGCGCGCACTGTCGTTGTCGAAGCCCAGCGGCGTGAATCTTCAGCACTTCGATCCGCGCTTGCCTTGGACGCGTCGTCATGCTCAGCTCGGAAGGAATGCGCGGCGTGAGGTAAATCAAACCGCCAACTCCACAATACTACTACCAATACATCCAAATACCAATTTCTCTCTGTGTGTGTAGGTGAAAACGGATTCCGTGTTGCAAAGAGCGTAACCCCCCCACTACGGACGAGTACCATCCCAATCATGCTAGCAGTCTAAATCCACATTACAATGCCATAGAGCAATGGGGCCATAGAGCCATAGAGCTGTTCTACCGGAACCTTCCAATGGAAAAGGACTTCATTTGGCGTCCAATAGACTCGAGGCCTTCCCCCCCCAACCCCTCCAGACCACCACAAGACCACCCCATCCTCCAAAACCGGAAGTCCAAATCCCAACCCCTCGCAACCCCTCCCCCTCCCCCTCCCAACCCCTGGCCACCAAGCCACTCGTTAGGGAGCGGAATCTCGATCTTTCGGTCCAAGCGCCCGGGCCGCAGCAGCGCCGGATCCAGGGTGTCCGGGCCTAACGGGGCGGACCGTTCTCGGTGGCGCTCCGCCCAGGTGTGAGACACACGTGATTGCACGTGTCTATGCAACAGAAACCGAAATGAACAGCCCAGTGATCGATGTGAGACAGAAGTGAACCATTGAATAGTGGATGAAGTTGATCTGAATAGTGAATGTAGTGGACATATTGTACAGTGGATACAGCAAATGATGGAACAGTGGAGGCAAACGTGGAAAAATAGAGAATATATAAAGACAATAAAATGACACAAGAAAAGGAACAAAGAACAAAGATCACCGAGAAGGTTGGAAAGCGGAAAAGTACAATGGTCACTGATCTATGCATCGTTTGTTCTCCCCAATCCACCTCCCAGAATCCTGCCACCTCCCCTGCAATCCTCCAGCCGACAAGGGGCGATTGGTGGCCATGATGATCTTCACCCTGCCCAAGTCGTCAAAGCCATCGAGCTGATTCAAGAGCTCCATCCTCCAAAAAAACAAAACCAACGGCTGATCACGGGTCACGTGACGCGCAGGCGGAAGAGCTTTCTCCTCCGGTCACGCGATGCCCCGCGCGCATCGCGCCGAGGCGATGACGGCACTGGAGAGATCGCAGGGTGGATCGAGGATGGCATGGCTAGTGGGGGAGGCCCTTTTGGCCGATCCAATTCCATACACGAGACCCTTTCAGGAGCAACGTGTTTGGCTGATGATGATGTCCAAGTCCAAGCAAGTCAGTCATAGATGCATGTCCATGGCCCGCGTCAGCTCTTGGAGCCCACCGACGCCAACAATTTGAAGAATTTGGAGTCCGCCCTTGCCAAGAAGACAGGCTTCATAATGCCAAACCAGCCCAAACCCATTGCAAAATCTGTTGTGCCCTTGTTTCCCAGCAATACCTCATTGTCGACTTTTTCTAGAACACTCTTGCTTTAAACTGCCGTTTCCAGGCAGTCTGGAGGTCTTCTCGGTTCGTGCGGCCGAGCTTCAAGGTTCGTTGGATTTCTCGATCGGCCGAAGTTCCCTGAGAGAATCGTTTCCCTCCGATGGCATCAATCTCATCCTGAGGCGTCGTCCGATGCCAGCGTCTGGCGTCGTCCCATGAATCCCACTTTTTCGAGAAACGGATGAGATCAGTCGGAATCTAATCTCTCTAGCTTCGTCGGAACCAAATCCCCCCAAAAAAGGGAACTCAGTACTCAGTTCTGACAGTTGAGTCTTTTCTTGAATTTCCTATGGCCTGTTCCATGCCAAGTGTGTTTTGCACGTGACTTGTTTGAAGCAGGCCACACCATCACCAAGGCTATCAATCATTGTCCAGCCAAATATGCAGTTGCTACAGCTGCCTTTCTTCATTCAAACCAGCCCCGAGCAACAACACCATGCAGAACAACACGTGGCAACATGATATAGAGTTCCTTGGGAAAGGCCAAGGCTAGATATGGATCGGCTAGATATGATCACACGATTCTCAACACAATATCTGGGAAGCGACTGGGAAGGAAGCATGTTGAAATGTTTGGCCTGATCCAGCGTGGCAGGTGGCCCACCAATTGAGCGCCCAAAGCCTTCCTTGCCAGGCAGCCATGAAAATGATGCATGGCTGGTGCTCCTTCGCATATCCGAACCTCACTCTGCCAGAACTGAAGCAACACCCTCAGACTGGAGGTTCCAGCCAATCAACTAAAACTTCAAACTTAGATGAAATGGAACTGTATCCATGTGTAGCTTGGCCAAATGTTCGCCCCAAATATTCCCACTCAACCTGGATGGCTCCTAAAAAAGAGAAGCTAAGTATACCTATACAGCTTCCTTTGTATGTATTTTTTGTTGTTTCAATCAGAACCCAGTTCTTGGGGCAGGAGGCGGAAATTTCTGTAGCGCAGCACTTTTCGGATTTGGGATAGAATGGGGGAAATGATCAACAGTGACACACCTACCCAAAAGAAACACAAGAAACGCAACGGTGCCAAAACGGCGCCAAAACAGCACCGAAACGGCGCAATTTGTTTGCACGCGTTTTTGTTGCACTACTGAAGGTCCAAATTGGCAGGCAAACAAAAAAACTAAGCAGCAGGCTTTCCAGAAAACGACTATGACTACTACATCAAGCGACATAAATTAGTTGAGTTTCGCAAAACGACAACAATTTTACATACCCGGGTGTCTTATTATGTTATACCTCATGGTATAACCGTATAAATCTCTCTATCTTTGGTCTCTTCTCCCCCAAATACCCAAACTCAGTACCAAGGAGCATCTCTCGAATAATTCGAGCTGACTCACCAATGTACTTGTCCACGATCGCCGAGGCCACCACCTGGGTCGAAGGTTGAAAGAAATGCCCTGCGGAGCGCCACCATCTGTGACCAACGCCTCTCTGGTGCAGTCC